AAAATCACTTCTTGATAAGGATGATTAAAACCATAATAGATATAACAAAGGAATAATAAAGTTTCTTACATCCTGAGATGAAATCTTCAGCCAGCTCGGTGGAGTCCTCTTGTATGGCTTAGCTGATGCGGAGATACCCTTACTGTTTACCAAAATCACAAAACAAAACAAATCAAAAATCGAAATCATCAAAACACATATGCAAATACAGACAGATGAAGGAGAATAGAGGAAGAAAGTACCCTCCACTGTGCATACGACCCATGGCGACAGAGATGGAGAATTGGCCGCTGCTTGCTGACGCTCTTAGGACGGCTGCAAAACCCTAATCCAGAATGGGGAAGAGAAGGCTAGACTTGCTGCAATTTATATTTTTTGTTAATTTGGTATTCAATCTCTTGGAATTTGATTGGATGGACCTTTGTTAATTTTGACACCGGCCCAAATTCTGTAAGAAGAGCATTGGGCTTTTCTCTCGTTACTACTAATACTAATAAAAAGTCTATAGCAGACTTGAGCACAAATACTGATTTTAAACCGGTTTATTAAAAAAAATGATTTTATATACTCGTTTTAGTTTTTTTGGAAATTAAATTCCATTAAAAAAAAAAAGTGGTTTTTTCGGTTAAAAAGCCAATTCAATTCGTTCTTTTAAGAAAAGTCGAACAAAAAAAAACGGTTTCATTTTTTTGTAAAGACATATTCTTAACCAATAGTTTAAGAAAATTGATTCGTACATAACAAAATTTCTTTATACACAACAATTTATGCTTTAAAATGTTATATTATACAACTCCATTAAACATAAAATGTTGTGTACGGAGTGATAAAGGTGCGTTTAGTTATGGAAAAATATATCGTTTTCTGAAAGAAAAAAAATCAAAGAAAAATATGAATTTTGAAAACGTATTTAGTTCAACAGTTTTTTTTTTAATTTTTCACACAAATAAAAAAATTCCAATACCAAAATTACTAAGAATTTAGAAAAAAATAAAAATTGATAACTATTGTTTTGCACAATTTTCTACATTAAAGTTAAATAATTTGTTCGTAAACCATAATTCAAAATCAGGGTTATAAGGGAAACAATGTGAAATCTCGAATCATAAAATTGTTGATGTATGTTTGTACAGTCCTGCCTTCGCAATTCGATAAGTACCAGAAAAACATTTGAATCCACAAATACAAGCCAAAGCTTAGTGTCACACCCCCGAACCAGAGAAAAAACGGCGGAAACGTTCATGGGCTTGAGTGACTTCATATTGTAATATCATCATAGTGAATATAAATGAAACATGACAAACACTATTATCATACATTCAAAATACAACCGTCATTGTTTACATCAAGTATTGTATTAAATATTACATTCTCAAATAATTAATGTATGATGATACAAAATGTGACAATTTCCATATGTTCTTGTCGACCTTTTTGATTAACGATTCCCTGCGAATACAAGTTAATTGCTACATAACAATCAAGGAGATTTGGGATTGTTATTGCTACATAACAATCAAGGTAACACTATAAACTTATTCTCATGTTAATATGATTATATGTATGCTAGAATTAGGGTTTATGGTCTTGGATTCAAAGCATGTACAATAGAGAAACCTAGATCCAAGCATTAGGGTTTGTATGAGCACATAGGATGTCTTATGACCAAAACCCATCACAAATGACAAAGGCCCATCAGAGGAGGTACGTGGGGCGTACTCTTCCTGATGTTGATCACCATCGGGGTGGTTGACTCAGTACGCATGGTGTACTGGATTTACGTTGGGCATAGGTAGTGATTTGCTAAAACCATAATAAGTGCTTAATGACTTAAGCACTTAAGCCCAAACTTCAGATCCAGTGACCAAATGTGTCTAGGACTCATAATGTCACAAACTTTAGCACTTTGGATATCCAGAAAGCTCTTTATACTTGGTCTTAATCCATTAAGACCTTCCTACTCCATGCATGGACATCTTAAGCCATTGTGACATCGTTTTTATCACTCAAAACCTCTTCAAGAGTCTAGAAGGACAGTTTATTTTGTCCAAATCACATCATGCACCATCTTGTGACTTTGGGACAAGAAATGGTTCCTTAAAGCCAAAATATCAAGATATATAAGATGCATGAATAAAGTTTGAAGTTTTTTTACCTTCTGGAGCTTCTAGGGCACCAACCAACTTCAGATCTACAAGCTTGATCTTCTTCTCCAACTCCTTGATGTAACACCTTCTTCTCAAAACACTCAAAATACACTCTATAAGCTCACACACTCAATGAAATGGCTAGGGTTTGGGGAAAATGGCTCTAAACAGTGGAGGCTGAGGTAAGGGAGGGTTATGAGCTCATAAGGTTGCTTATATAGCACCAAACCCTAAATATTATGGTTTCATCCTGACATAAGTACGCCCAACGTACTAAGGCGAACCTTAGTACGCTCTGTGTACTCTTATGTACGCTCATCGTACTCCTTCTTGATCCAAGGTTGCAACCTTGGCCCTTATACTTATATTGGCTCTACACTTCCAACCCCAAGGACTACAAATGACTAAATAATGATAGTAGCGGGACTGTATGTTATGAGAGGACTAGTAGACGATAGTGAGTTGTATGATTGTTGTTTGTCTGTATTATATGCAGGGTTGTAGAACTCGCTACTCGGTACCTGTTCGGCTGACTACCAAGTAGCGAGTACACAGGAGTCGAGAGTACCCAGGGGGTACTCGGATTTGGTAATTCATGTAGAAATATTTTTACAGAAATTATATATGTAAAAATCATAAGATAAAATCATAAGTTGATTAAAATATATAATAAAACTGGATACATGTGAAAACACATAAAATAAAACACACATAACGGTCTCACTTCGTGAATAATTATTGAAAATTTAAGGTATATATGTAGTAATAATCACATGTATGTGTGTTAAATAATAAATCATTAACTATATTATACATAGTAATGACCGACTTGATCGAGTTTTACAACACTGATCAGTTTAATAAGGGTCGATTAGGGAGTACTCGGGATTATGTAACTCGCCTCGGTAAGGGGGGCGAGTAGCGAGTACTCGGAGGAGTAATCGACCAACTCGGCGAGTTTTACAACACTGATTATATACCTACTTGATCATGATTATTTATATGTCGACATGTGTGTTTGGTTTAGGTTGAGGCAGTCCTGCTTTGTGTTGTAGGCCAAGATACCCGGTGCAGGCCGGCTATAAGCCATAGGCACAGAGGCTCGGGAGGAGCGGTTGGGTAGAGACAGTAGACCAATAAACCCTGGTATTCTGGCCTGGATAGACTGAAGGCCTGCGAGACGGTCCAGTTAGGTCGAAGGCCCGAAGAATGGCCGTTATGCACTCTTGTATAATTATTCGTATGGGGTATTTTGGGGGAAACTTACTAAGCTTTATGCTCACGCAGTCGTTTATTGTTTCAAGTATCACCGGTAGCTATGAGAAGACGAAGGCAGGACTGTACACACTCATTAACAACATTGAAGATTTAACATTTCCTATAATACTCTGATTTTTAATAAATGTAATTTGGAATAAATGGTTTTCTTAATAATGGATTTATAAATTTGGAGGTTTTAACCTAATAAAAATGAAAAAACATTGGTTGATAAAAATGGGACGTTACAAGAGTGTTGCGGGGGAGTGGGTGCGGGGAATCTAGCTCTTGTTCGTCGGTTGTGTCCGCAAAAGTTGGCTGGTAGTAGTTCTCGTGATGTAGAGCGTCGAGCGAAAATGATTGATATTCCTAAGGATGGTAATGTGGAGAAAGTTATTATGCCGAAGTCAAATATTGCTGTGGAATCAAGCCTATGACTGGAGACACACACACACATACATACATATACACACACACATATATACATATATATATACATATATATATATATATATATATATATATATATATATATATATATGTGTGTGTGTGTGTGTGTGTGTGTGTGTGTGTGTGTGCGCGTGTATGAGCCGAATAAAAAAAATCCGATCGAGACCTTCCGGAAATGGTCTAAAAAAATTATATCGTTTCGAAACCAATCTTAAACCGGTACAAAATCATTTTGAGAAATTAAATTGCCTCCTAGGAGACAATTTAATTTCTCTATCGTTTTTGTACACCTAGTAGTGACTAAGTATTATCATTTTACATCCATATAAAAGCCTATCTATTTTAGATTTTTTTTATGAAATCAATATTTTATCTTTTATTAAAGACTAATATTATAATTAATTTTATTGTTTTTAAGATTATAAATATATATTCTATAAAATAAAAAATATAAAAAATAGTTTTAACAACAAAAAACATATATTATTTTTAAAAAACTAGTACTTTATGAACTTTTTTTTAAGATATATATATATATATATATATATATATATATATATATATATATATATATATATATATATATATTCGTTTTTTGTAGAGAAAATAAATGACAAATTTTGTTTTATTTTATTCTTTTAAACTTAAAGAAATAATATGCAATTTATAATTTATAAATTTTAATTGGAAAATATGTAACAACTAATCAACGAGAAGATGACACGTGGTGTACATATATTTCTAATTTTCATTTATTTTTCACTAGATATGAGACCAATACATTAAATATAAAATTTTGAACACATGAAATGTTTGAATTTACAAGAAAAATGAAAAAAAATATTGAATTATTATTTTTTTTTTAATTTAAACAAATAATTTAGATAATAAACAAAAAAACTAATAAAACTTTAATTTATTAATTTTGAAATTAAAAAATTTATTAATAAAATTAATATGCATTTATTATTATTTATTATATTAAATATTATGTGGAATTTAATAAAATGAAAAAACCATAAAACAACATGTGGAAAAAAACAAAAAAAAAAACACATATGACATAATACATTACAAGATAACAAGTGACAAAATCATTTTTATTTAGGAATGATTGATTTCTAATTGACTTTTTTTTTTTTTTTTGCCTTTGTTGTTGATCTAATCACACCAAATCACTAATAATTATAGTCTATAGATTTTGAGACTTAAACATACATGAAATTTAGAGAACAAGAAAACAAACACACGATAATAAAACAAGGATAAACTTATGTCAAAGTTTATATAACCACATAACATTAAAAACACACTACCAAACTACTTGCGCATCTAGTATAACTCCATAGTTTTTAAACTCATCCGAGTCATAAGTGAACTCGCCCTTAGAGTTGATTACATGATATCAACTGGGGTAACCTTTTTGACCCTTCCATAAGAGGGTTGACCACCATCCGTTCCCCACTCATCTCTCCATGGCAGTGTCCACATGCCCCAACCCCCCTCATCTTTCCAACCTAACTCACCATAACCCTCCATCCCTATAAAAACAATAAATACTTAAAGATGCCATCTTTAGATACAAAAAGATATCAACCTGCTTTTATTATATGTTTGTTATAGCATCATACTTCACAGCATCATATACATTTAAATTTTTAAAATCTACCCAAACAGATTGTTTTCGATTTTGATGACATTGCTGGTTAGTTTTTTAGATTAAAGTGTTGTAATAGGAAGAAATGGAAGCCAAATTCTATAATAAACAAATAAATAGAAGTACGTTGCATTTAACCCTTTTGGATACCTGCATTCTCAAGCAAATTGAATCCGTCATTCCAACCAGGTATATGCTTGTCTGCTTTGACTTTCCAATTTTCTTCAAACGCATTTAGTTCATCTAAATAATTCCACACAATATAAGGTTTTGTACAACTCAGCAATGAGAAACAACTTTTTAGAAGGAAACATCAAACATACCCTCATTTAGATTATGTAGAATTTGCAATGAATCCTCTTTGCCAAATGGGTCGCGTTTTTTTGTCAGTGTATGACCCTTCACAAGCATACATGATTAGTTTTCTATTTAACATTAAGAATAAACACAAGAAACATTGACATACTTTTATTTGTTTTTATTACAACATTACGATCTTTTTTCTTATCAAGGTGTATTGAAGTCAATTTTTCCTTATTAGGAAATCATTCTTTGAAAATCTATCCAATTATAGCAGTGAAATAGAAATAAATGGAAGTAGGATGCTATAATAAACAAGTCCATGAAAGTATCTCGTTATTTTTTTCCTAATAGGTGTAGGGAGAAATGATCAAACAAAAGAAAGAGTTGCACCTTCTCATGTATTCCTCTGGAAATTGAATGCAATGCTTGACCCACAGTCTTATCTTCTTCTTTGATTTCTAGAAAAACCACCTGTACAACAGTAAATATTTCATTTCAACATCACAATCTATACAAAGGAGAAAAAATACAAAGAGAAGATGAATTAAAAACCAAGAACCACGCAATCAATCATTCATACCCCATCACTACCAGTCCTTTGGCCTATAGAAGAACTGTAGTACACTCCATTGACACCACCATATGCAACTCTTCGGAAGCTGAAGCTATCAGATTCTATAGATGGTTCAGCCATAGATTCATATGAAGATTAAGAAACGGAAAATATAAATTAACGATCAAATTATGTACCTTGAGATTTGCGTGTTGGGGTTTTGGTGACTGATACTTGTGTGTTAGGAGCTGAATTTCCGCCATCGGTGTCCAATTCCTCGATTGTTATCTCCTTTCTAGATCCACCATGGTCATGGAAATGACCAGTGAAGAACGGATCATCAAATGGATCTTTGCCCCGAAATAGTTTTGACATTTTACTCTGAGAAACTAAGCAATTAACGAATTTTGCAAACAAGAACAGCAAAGGTTAGCGAAATGCGTTGACAGTTTTATTTTTAATGATGAACAAACACAGTGTAAACAATTTCAGCTAGAAGAAGAACTTACCTTTAAAGCTCGAAATCAAAGAGAGAAAGAGAGAATAGGAGAATAATAAGAGGGTGATTGAAACTTCCAGAAAGGAAAAAAGATAGGAAAGGTTAGGCCTACCGACTTTTTAAATATTGACTTTTGTTGAACAAACTTATATCCAAAAGTTGTGATTGAGTTCTAGATTCTTACAGAATTTTGTGTTCTTAATGACATTTTTCTATATTTTTAGAAAACCATAAAAATAGCCATGGGAAAAAATGGTTTTAAATATTATTTTGATTATTTTTTTACCAAAAGTAATTACCAATTTTGTATTGCCATTTCGAAACTTTAAACTTGTTTAAGCCATTTTTGAGAGATTTTCTCATCTTTGCATATTAAATTTCTCTCAACCTAAACTCAATTTTTGCACTACAAGTTTTATTTCTTCACCAAAAAGAAATTATATCTAAATATTAAAAAGCACTCGCCTTAAATTCTCAAAGCAGAAAAAACAAAAAAGTTGTGGAACAAAACAATGTTAGTTAAAAATAACAAATAACCGAAATGTATTTGGGTTTTCTACCCCAGTGTTAGGTAGTTGTAATCCTATATCCTTTAAATGATTCCTCATATGTATCATTCGAGGTTCGTAAAAAATGTATTTGACTCCACACTCGATATAATTTTTTTCCCCAAACCTGAATGTAACTCAAACCTTGATCAGAAATCAAAAAGGAAGTTCCTATATATAAATGTCATTATGTCAATATGATTGTAAATCTCATCATGAAATTAATCAAATTCTCTTTACTTGGGATATGTATGAGTCACATAACTACAATGTTTCTCTTTCCCTAACAAATCTTCGATTACCAATTCAATAATACACAGAGTATAGAGTTCCTTGCTTTTTCTTCCACTGTTTGCTCTCCTTCCAGCATAGATAACACCCCTAGTTTCTTTCTACATAACATCCACCAATGGAACAAGTTCAAAAAACTAACAAAAAAAAAAGAGATTTTCTTAGTAACAGAGACCAAATACAATACCTTTATTTTCGACCACTATTGCCACAACACACAAACTCAAATCATACAACGTATTCAATGAAGTATAACAACATTTACCAAAAAATACATGTATTACTATAACCCATATTGGCCAAACTATAATGAGTTCAACTCAATCTATGTTGATTCTAACAACCTTTTTAGGTTGGCTTCTAGAAGAACTTGTCTGCTCTTGATTTTCACTCCTCAACCTCCCACTTCTCTGGGAGCCACCCGCTGCCTCAAGCGCCAACCCAAATGGTCCCATGCTACCAAACCCTATAAAACCATCATTATAATTTATAAAAAAAGATGTTTTACTATTTACTGTTTAATGATTACTTATTACTGATGCTTACTTGGCTTCCCAAACGAGTTGAATTCTTGGTTCCAAGGAGGGATGTGCATGTCAGCATTACCCTCCCATTCTTCTTCAAAACTAGCCAACTCATCTAAGCAATAAGCAAACCAATTGCCTTTGTTAATAAGAGCAAATGTAACCATAGTTTACAAACTAACTCTAACCTTGGTTAAGGTTATGTAAGGTCTGCACTGTGTCCACTTCCCCATCTGTACCAAGTTTCCTAGTGACAGAGTGACCCTAGTGAGAAACCACGTAACCAACTTTAGTTTCCACATACTCAAATAACAAATCAAAAGAAGATTTTCAGGGGCTCATTTGCAAAAACCCGACAAGTACACGGGGTTGTATTTAAAAATTTTGGTTACCTTGTCATGTATTCCTTTAGAAATTCTATGTGTTGCTTGACCTGTTGTTTTATCAGCTTCTTTGGTGTCTTCAAGTACCACCTGATTGCCAAATATAATAATATAATAATTAATATAAAAAATCAGGAAATCAGATTCAAAATATTACTTACTCCATCATTGTTTGATTTTCTGGTTGTTGTTGCAGTGTAGTATGCTCCATTTATACCACCATATGTAACTTTTTTAAAACTAATGCTTTGGGTCTTGGTCCTGTTATGATTCTTGTTGAAGCGTGTCTCCTTCTTCACTTCCTCTGTCATGATGTAAAAATAGACACGGATTTGGTTGGTTGGAATGGAATAGAATGAACATGGTAATGGAATGAGTCGTTACTTAAAAATTAGAATGAAAGTTTGAGTGATAATAAATTGATACCTTCATCATCAGGATGTTCTATAAGGGGATCTTTGCTAGATGTGGCAACTCTGTGGGGTTTGTCATCCGTAACAACCCCAGAATTACCGTTTTGCCCTTCTTCTCCTTCTCTTTCATCATCAGAATCTATCTCTTCAATAACTAGCCCCTTGGAACTGTTTGCATTTAAATGTAGCAAATCCTCAGATGAACCATGTGTATCAAAGATGTTATTGTGCTCAAATATACTCCCAAATGGTCGAGTGAAAAATGGGTCATCAAATGGATCCCTTCCTCCAAAAATGCTAGACATCATGCTTCTATTAGATGAATTCATTGATTCATCTCTAGTTTGTCTTTCCCTCTGCATTCCCTTACAACAGATCCTACACAGATTCAAAATTCTGAATTCAGCACAAAGTTACAACAGTAAATCATGTGAGAAAAGTTTTTTCTCTTTGGGTCTAAAAAGGTCGACAGATAAACTATGATTATTATATGATAATATGACCTCTCTCATATCTTCATGATTGTTACACATCTTCCTACAGGAAACTAATCATATACAAACAACATGAATTTTATAGCAACAAAATCAATCAGTGTAATTAAAATTAGCAAACACCGTGAGAGATTAATAGTTGAATTTAACTTGATTAAGGTGCATGTAAATGATTCACGATATAAGTCTCCAACTTAAATAACTAAAATCAGAAATTACATAAGCAGAAACTAAAATCACACAAACTAATCCACAGAAATAATACAACAATATAACAGAAATTCATCAATTATTCTATTTTTTCTGATGAAACAATCTCATAAAACCGCAATTAAACGAACAGAAAACACTTCCAAAAAAAAAACCGTACCTTATTTCAGTTCAAGATAGATCTGAAACAATTTAAAATGTGATGAGGGAGAATCGATTTACGAAACGAACAAACGAAGGGTTTAAATGCAATTCAGTAGTTTGAATTCCTCTTGTCGCCAGCTTCGGGTCTAGAGTGTTCTCAACTTCTCATGAGAAACACAAAAATCAACTTTATATTTTCATTTACCACCCTTGAATTCCTAAAAAGTACTACCAACCACCCAAACTTTGTAAAATTCGCAAACGAGGGAGGTTTATAAGAAAGGATGTATATAGGTGTTTGGGAGCTTGGGGCAGGAGAGGGCCTGTGGGCCACGTAACTTGGGCCACAACCTGCATTCTGTGTGGGCCATATTGTGTCGATGGGAATGGGATGACGAGTCTAGTCGAGGTTGCAGTTGCAACTTGCACGTGACCTGTATTTCGGTTGGAAGAAAACCAATACACGTGACCTTCAGGTACGTGTTTTGGAGAGTTTTTGGGCAACGAAGGAGAGGGGTTTGAAGTTCAGTGAAGACCCAGTGAATGATTGAATACTCCATGAAATAAAGTCTGATCTCATAAGTGTGATTCCTTGTTTACTGTTGGAATTGGAATCACAGACGTTACTCTTTTTTGAATTACAAATGCTAAAGCTTTTTTCACGGTGGCGCCACGACTTCCATAGCCACAACCGACCACAAATCCTCCGTCACTTAACAAAATCCCATTTTGAAGACGACCCACCTTTTTCCCCAATCCTAAAACCCCAAAATCAGAAGAACAAGAAACTCAAAGAAGACGCATCAAACAAGAAACCCCAAAACAAATTCCCTGTAAAATCAAATCTACCCTTTGATTTCAGGTACTCGTACTCTGAGACCAACCCTAGCCTCGAACCCATTGGGTATCGAGAAACCCCCAAATTCTCTCCTTTTGGGCCGGATCGACTTGACCGGAAATGGACTGGAACAGTGGCTCCATTGCAGCAGGCACCCGACATGGCCAAGGTTGAAGAAGAGAGGAATGCGGTTCTTGGGAATCCGTTATCAGAAGAAGAAGTATCTGAACTCGTTGAAAGATATCGACACAGTGATTGCTCTCGCCAAATCAATTTGGGTAAACATTGAATCTTTGCAAAATTGTTTCCATAATAGAATCAGACAAATCTTATTAAAATTGTTGTGGTAGGAAAGGGTGGGGTTACACACAACATGATTGATGACATCCAAAACCATTGGAAGAAAGCCGAAGCTGTGAGGATCAAATGCTTAGGAGTCCCGACTCTTGATATGGACAATGTCTGCTTCCACCTCGAGGTTTGAAGTTTGAAATCACACTTGTTTTGCTAATTTGGATCCTCTAACAAAGCTATTAGCTTACATACAATAATTGCAGGAAAAATCGGGTGGGAAGATCATATACAGACAGATTAACATCTTGCTGCTGTATCGTGGACGAAATTATGATCCCAAAAATAGACCTGTTGTTCCTTTAATGCTATGGAAGCCATATCCACCGATTTATCCAAAGCTCATAAAGAATGTTGCTGATGGCTTGACATTTGAAGAAACAAAAGAATTGAGAAACCGAGGACTTAACTCTCCTCCACTAATGAAACTAAGTACATGACCATTACTCATTAGCCAAATGTCTTATATACCCTTCAAAAATGACAAAATTAGGGAAGTTTTCAACTAATAGGGGTTTGACATTCGTGCAGCAAGAAATGGTGTGTATGCTAATGTGGTTGAAAAAGTGAGAGAGGCTTTTGAAGTTGAACAAGTAGTGAAGCTCTGTTGTGCACATGTGGGTATGAGTGACTCCAAAAGGATCGCTGTGAAGCTAAGGGTATGTATTTTGTGTTTTCTTATTTGTGATAGAAAGTTTCCATCTTTATTATGTCTTTTTTTAATGAAATTCTCTTAACACAGGATTTGGTCCCTTGTGTGCCTATATTGTATAAAGATGAACAGATCATTCTATGGAGTGGGAATAAAGCCACAGAAAATACTTTGAATGATTTGTAAGTGGTAGTGATTTCACCCTGTTTGACATCATGATAAACCTTTATATCAATTTAAAAAAGAAAAGATCATATACATTATATGAAGGGCAAATAGGTAAAATAGTAGCGTCGTGATACATTGAGCCAATGTTTTTTTGGCTTAATCCATTAAGTCATTTTGTTAAGACTAAGTAAAAAAGAAACAACCATGTATAGTTAATCGAGATTAAGTTTTTAACCCATTAATTTCATCAAGTCGAAGAAACAACCTCCTTAAACCTGAACCTAAGATCTTAATTATGGATTTTGACTTCCTTATTTGACAAATAGCTAAACTTTTTTGATAGAATTTGCCTGATTTGACTAAGTATATTGTTTAGGTTTAAGTGCAAGAAGGAACGAGACAATTTCATTGACTTTTTATAATAGCATCCAATTTCATTTTATTCGACTCACAAAATTATCTTTTGAAAATTGTACGCAATTATAACAAATAGCAATGGCATGCAAACACAAAGTGATTTTCACTACTATAATGGGATAGACTTTCTAGAAATATAAGGTCTTAATAAAAAAATTGAAAGAACATTGTTATAATTGGGTACATTCTCAATGTACAACGCTTTAATAAGAAAAAGATTGAAAGTACAATGTTAATAGAGTATCTTAACATATTGTAGCATGGGGGTACCAAATGTATTTAATTTGTTAATATCTTTTACGTATTTCTTTGAATCATATTGATTTGAAACTATCACAACTCTTCAACTTAACTTTTAAATACTACAACTCAAAAGGTTATTTGAATAAGGATTCTTAAGTGGGTTCGTAAATGTGAGATAAGTGCAAAGAAAAAATGACGTTAGTTAAAGTTGAGTCTACCTAACTCTATAACCTTAACATTACTAACTTCCTAATTATATCGCTTATGTTTTATATTTTTTTTAATCAATCTCTTTTAAATATTGCAGTATACTTGATATTACATAAATTTGTTTTGCAGAAAGAGATGATTAAAACAACATGCCTAACCTAATCGTAAATAACAAGTGGTTGATATTATTAACTTGTTATATTGTTTATTTGTATTAAATTATTAATGACGGTTTGACAATTAAAAACAACATGAGTAACCTAATGGTAAATAATATTTATCATCCTATTTGTTTTTTTATATATAGTTGTATTAGAAAGTTATATTTGATGTTCATCTGATAATTTAAAATTGATATGAATGTGTAATAGATTGATTGTTGCTTATGTTAATTAGAATTTTATAATCATGATTATAAATATTATAAAAGATTTCAAATTTAAATTACGTTTTTTTATTGTATTGTATGTAGGATATATTGATAAGTTCGCCATTAGAAAATCGGTTTTAGAGCAATCAACTACGAGAGAAAGTGTAAATGAAAAGATATGTAACTATCTATTTATTTAAATTTTTATGATATGCTTAATTTTGCCTTCTGCTCTATTTTTTTTATCAAATCTTACAAAATATGAATTAAACGTTTATAAATTATTTTAAATAAATAAAATAATTTCCAATATTTCAACTACGTAATATAACTCATGTGCAACACGCCAAGATTCGCTTATGAATATACATTTATGATTCATTCATAAATATAACACTGTAATATATTTCGATCTACATGTATCAGAGAATAAATCAATTGTAATCGTGTACGAATACAAGGTCTCGAAGTACTTGATCATTTTGAATATGACTATCAGAATAAATGTATTAATTCATTCGTAATATAATTAGTAATGAATATAATTGTATGAATATAAATATATGAAAATAAATATGTGTATTCATGTAGGTATAGTAATGCGACAATTGCTGAAAAAAATAATGCGACAATTGCTGAAAAAAATAAAATGTTGGTATATTCATGTATGATTAATCTATTAGTTATGTATAAAAAATCATTAACATTTTTAACCTTGTGAGTTTATCGATTTTTTTCCATAAGAAAATGCTAAGTCTTTGGTAACAGATAGATTGCAATTAGGGATGCAAACGAGCCGAGCCGAGCCCGAGCCTGACCAGGCTCGGCTCGGGCTCGTTGAAGTTATATAAGGCTCGAGCTCGAGCTCGGATCGATTCGAGCTTCCTTGTACTCAGCTCGGCTCGAGCTCGTAAATAATTATACAAGCTCGGCTCGGGCTCGACTCGTTTTTTATCTGACGTGTCTAAATAAGCTTAAGCTCGGCTCGAGCTCGTTAAGAAGCTCGTTTACTAATACCCTAAATCCATAATTCCTCTAATATGTTTTTATTTTAATATAGAGTAAATTACATGAATCGTCCCTCGTGTAGGTGTCAAAAGGCACGTTCAGTCTCTATTTTCAAAAATTAACTCGGACAGTCCTTGATATGTTTAAAAGGTGCACGTTTCGTCCCTAGTTTCATTAACCAGACCTAAAAAGACAAATTTACCATTATCGATTTCTTTTTTGATTTTTTTTGGTTTGTTTATATTATTAACAATTAAAAAATAAAATAAAATGGGGCCTCTACCACAAACCCTTAACATCTACTATACCACCCACACCCTTCGTCACTTCATCTTCTCCACCATCCAGCTGCATCACCTCCGTCATTAGAGGTTGACCAAGATACAAGATAGAATTCTTAGCAATAATTGCAATCTCCCTAAAAATGCTGATAGCAGCTGCAGAGCTCTTAATTATCACCACAACCTGTCAACTTATTACTCATCTATTAATTTTTCTCAAATTCCATGTTTGAAAACCCTAAGACATACAAGAACAATGATACATGTTCGCACAAGGGCTCCGGTGTACGGTATGCATATATGAATATGTTTCCTCGGCTACCGATCGGTACCTAGTAAGAACCAAATCTCGTTTAAGATTATTCTGATTTCAATTTTATTGAGAATTTGGGGGTGCATAGCTTCAGTTTAATGATCATAAATTAATCAAAAGGGTACTGAATCAAGAGAAGAGGAATGAATACCTGGAATCTATGCAATTCAGGGATCTGTATAATGTCCTGTACAAACAACAACACCATCAAAATCTTCATTGAGATGATGTTCTTCTTTTTCTCTTTATTGATCTCACTTTCCTCTTCCAAAATTCCCCAACAGTTTTCTGAAAACCACCAGTTTTCCGATTTTGAGCACTGAAATTATCATCTTTGGTTGGAATTATCGTATACTTTCCGATCACCATTAGTCTTCTGAACTTTGTTCCAAGCATAACCAAAGTAGGGTTAGAGATGGGGATGTCTTGGGCAAATAGTGATGTAATCGTGGTAGTGATGGAAGAAGGCTTATATATCGGAAGCTCCATGAATCCTTGGATGACTATGAACATGTAAACTCCACCCCTCTACAATATGTTTCCCTTAATCCCAATCTTGACATTTGCGCCCCTCAATCCCAATAGATTAGATCAGGATGAAGGGGAAACAAAGCAACCATGACCGAAGTTGTAGAATAAGGAAGAACCAGAATAGTCGGTGACCGGATTTGCACGAGGAGGAAGAAACAGAGTAACTGTAGATGGATCCGGTCGCGTATGAGGGAAATCTTCGATGGGGATCACAGGCTTTTAGGCATTCTTAGGGTTTATGATTTCAGATAATAAAAAAATCAATCAATAAATAAACAAATATTAAACAAATAAAAAATAAATGAAAAAGAAATAGAAAAGGGCAATATAGTCATTTTATGACTGTCAGGGATAAAACGTGCACATTTTAAACATATCAGGGACGATATGAGTTAATTTTTAAAAATAGGGACCGAACGTGCCTTTTGACACCTACACGAGGGACGATTCGTGTAATTTACTCTTTAATATATTTAAATAATATTATATAACTCGTGAGCCTAATCAAATTTAATGACATAGGCTTGAGCTCAAACTCGTTTAATAAACAAGCTTAATATTAAGCTCGGGCTCGGCTCGGGCTCGTTTAAAATCGATTTCGAGTCGAGTTTTTAACGATCCGATCTCGAGTAGCTCGCGAGTAGCTTGACTCGTTTGCACTCCTAATTTCAATCCTATTATTTTGTAAAACATTGATTATTTAGTTTTTTTTTTCTTATTTAATTAGCATGCAAAATTAGTAAATTGTCCTATTGATAATTATGATTTTTTTAAAATTCTTTAGATATATGGTTGAGATATGTTCTCGCTATATCAACATTTTTAATACTTTCAAATTAATATGAGAGTATCCATAATGCATTAAACTTATTAGAGTTTAATAGATTGACACATCATCATTTTATTTTCTGTACAACTCTATTAATTTTTCTATGATGCATTCAAACTCTATAAAATTCAATGGAATATATTTTTAGCAGTTAAAAAGTTTTATTTTTCCTATTGAAGAGTTCAGTATCTATTGAATGTCAACATGACATTACATAATTGTAGAATTTAATCCATTAAATAACAATTAGAAATGTCATTAAACTCCATATCCATTGAATGTTAACATGACGTCCCATAATTATAGAATTTAATCTATTAAATAACAATTAGACATACCACCTCACTCAACTCTCCAATTAAGCTATCTCTAAATATTGGATATTTTAATAAAAATACTTGAGAGTTCGATGTATTCGTGCAAACTACCCCAACATGATAGCTATGTCAACATGATTGTCGTAAAGCACGTTGCTAAAATTTTAACTGGAATACCATAATGTATTAACCGGGATAGTTTCGATGACAAAATGATGACGAAATCAATCGTAAGTTTGTAACCACAGGTTGATATTAATCACATTCTAACCAAACACAACCTTTTCGCTATACCGAAAATTGGCTGACAAACGGCATTCATGATTCTATTCCATTTTCCATATTCTAATTTGGTCAATTCTATCCATTCGTTGGTCTATTCCATCATGCTTCTATCAGATCCATAGCCAAATGCTACAAAGGTTGATGGTCAACGCGACAGAAAGTTAAAAGTTGATTTCACGTGTGGAGAATAGAATAAAAGTGTTGAAAATGTTTACTAATGTACATTCTTATATAGCTTCTTTCTTACACTAACTTCCTTCCACAAACCCCGACAAATAAACATTTACCTCCTCCCCCTTCTGCTACTTCTAACCAAGTTAAAACGGGTCCCAAAATCAGTTGAAATCACATCATGAGGTGTGTTGGGGGTGTAGGGTGATGCTATAAACCAAAAACATGTCATGTCTTTTTTTTTTTGGATGATTTTAGAATTCTTGGGCATCCAAATCCGGCTTTGATGGATACTCCAGGCCCTGAAGAGCAGGCATTCTTCTCAAATCTTCTTCACAGTATGCAGGAATGAACCAATACTTTTCTACAGTTCCAAATACCTGACATTTTCCAATAAATTAAACCAATAGACATGCAAAAAAGAAGGGCAAATAGGTAAATAAGTTAAATGTCTTGATACATCAAGCCAAGTAGTTTGGCTTAACCCATTAAGTCATTATGTCCACATTAAGTCGAAAAGAAACAACCAAACATCTCACATGCGCTTCAACAATGACAAAACAACCAAATTTCATGGACTCAAATCAATATTATCAATTACTTTAGAACAAGGGGTAGATATAATATCATTATATAATCAATACCTGTTCAAAGTTCCTCTTGCGACCAAGATCATAACGCCATTTTGGAGTGGTTTTCTTCTCGTATGCCTGATCACGAAAACATAAATAAATTATAAATTGCAAGATTTGACCATGAAATAGCAATGTACTTTTGTTGACTTATTTATTATAGAATCCTGCTTCCATTTCTTTCTATCACAACATTGTGTTTTGAAAACTCTACCCAAATGGGTAGATTTTTCAAAAGTATAATGTCCTAACAAATTTTTTGTTTGAAAGTACAATGTTATAGTTGGGTATATTTATAAAGTACAATGCTTTAATAAGAAAAAGACTGAGAGTACATAGGTGTAATACACAATACCTCAATTGTTGTGGTATTAGCAGAGACCAAAGATATGTGCATAATAAGAAACCCCAACACGCTTAAAGCAAAAGCCAAATTCAAGACTGCAAAAAGAAATAATCATTACATAATTGAACACGAGGGGGGGTTATAAAATCATTTTTAAAAAAAGGGGGGATTTTAAAATTTTATAAGATATACCAAAAGCAAGAAAGGTTGTTGCTAAAGTGCTAGGCGACCCTGGAATCTCTCCATCACTAAAGAATGCTATGAAATGTGGTAGCAAGGCTAAAGTCACCACCGTCGTCTCCAAAAACGTGTAAAACTGCATCATCATCATCATCATTGAAGGGTATTTCAGACATTTCACCAACAATACAGTTTTTACATGACAAAGAGAATTATCAAACGTACCAGAAAAAGAAGGAAATACTTGTAGTTTAGTGCCCCAACACAATTAACAACCCACACGCAATGATGATCCATCTTCAAAACACATCTCCCACCTATATAACATAATGCACCAAAAACATACATTCTTTATATTCAAGAATCAAGACCTACAAAAGATTATAAATAAAAGTATAAATTTGAACTCACAAACAGAACAATGGTGGCAACGAGGTGGTTTTAACTGGTTACACTTGCGACAATACCGGATTCTTGAATTGTTTGGATCTGGTGAATTCAATGGGCCAAATTCAGATGCTTCTAATGGATCGATTTCTCCTCTTTCTTGATCCACTAGTGGTCTATAATTAGGTGGCACACCACCAGGATCCGTGAACACCACAGAGAAATAACTCCATAATAGCATCACCAACTGGATCACACGCAAGTGTTGTTAATTAGGTCAACAATGATTCTGTTTTTGAATTTGTGATAACTATTTTCTTTTTTCTTATTTCCTTTTTTAAACTTATAATCATATATAGAACTTAGAGGTCCAGTGTCTCAGAGGTGAAGCTACACCACCTGTAAACTATATGAGCTAAAACAGAACAAAGCATTTACTACTACGCAGCTGAAAATGAAGTTTTCCCTATATTGCCAAACATCTGTTATATAAACAGTTAAAATCATGGGGTTCTGCACACACACACCCCTCTATAAATCGTAAAACTATGGCTTGGGTAGCTGAAATTTCCCAATTTTCCTCTTACGAACTTGGTTAAATTAAGTTAATTTGCTAGATTAAGAACTAGAACACAAACAGAAAACGCCAAAAAACACCTTGAATTTAACAGTTCATAAGAAAATAGATATAATAAATATGAACTGCGAAGTGAGAGAAAATATGATTACCAGGGTATGAAATACGATTAATATAAGAAGTGCGATGAGCGAATCAAGGCCACCGGCGGCCAAAGCAGGTCCATAATTGCACAAGACGACGGCGTAATAGGTGACACCAACAACACCAAGAACCAACAAGATCATGATCGAGCCTAACCCTCTAAGGGCCGTACAGAATTTGAACACATTCCAAGCCATCACAGCTCCAGATCTGTACATAATACTCCTCAAACGAATCGATAAAAAAGATGACGAAAAAATCAAGATAACTATTTGGAACAAATCAAACCCACAAAAAAGGTTTTGATAATTCTCGTTTTTGATTCTGGGTTTTAATTGTTTGTAAATCGTGTGACGTAGTAATCCTCTCTGAGGGTTTATGAATTTTAGGGAAGAAGTGTTGAATCCATGGTGATGAGAGAGAGAGAGGCAGGGAGGAGCAAAAAACAAGGACTTAATTTTGTTGAGATGAAAGGTAAAAGCTAGCTCAAATTACATAAATGGACTTAAGGTATATGTTAATTTCAGTACAGACCCTGTGTTTCCACGTTATTATGAAATAGATGTGATATAACGTTTTAAATAGTTATATTAATATGATCTAACATTACTTTGAAGCAAAAGGCCCAAACTTGCACATTGGATAAAGATAATGGCCAAAATTTATACAATTTTATGAATCCACTTGGAACAATTTCAAAACTTTACGAGAGTAATAACATTCTTATTTTATTGCAATTACCATTAAAATTTATTTTTTATAAAGTATACAATTAAATTAATTTAAGTGTAGTCGTGTTCGCAGAACAAAATCCTAAGTTGTGGCACACATGATTTTCGAGGTGGTAAATTTACATAAAATTTCCGAAATAAATTACAATGTTTTAAAATTTAAGAAGTTATACCAGCCACCCAAAATCTCCTATATTCGCCACTGTTTAAGCGTTCAAAAACATTATTACTACATGTAAAGCTAGCAAAATCAACTCAATCCACCTATCCAACCCAGAACTAACCCAAAATAAATGGGTTGGGTTGATACTTTCAACCCATTTAAATTAAGTGGATCAATACGTCCAACCTTTTTAATTAAATATGATAGTGTTGGATAAAGGTCATTTTCAAGTAACCAAACTCATTTAACTTAGTAATGTTTAATTTAATATTTATTTAAATATTATCATTTATTAATGGAAGTACTAATTTATAAATTAAAATGTTGTATTATTATTTGTGTTTTAGAAAAATGCAATCTTAATTCCCATCATTTTTCTTATAGCCGAAAATACTAGTCAATCTCCAAAATCACTTTAAAATTATATATTTTTATGTTATTTGAAGAATTTATTCAAATTTGTCAATTGTGATTGTCTTTTGTCCTACTTTGAACTTTTATTTATATTTGAAACTGATTTATATAATATAATCTTTAGTTAATGTATTTAATTTTTTATTATAAATAAGTTAACCCAAGTTTAACTCATTTATTTAATTGGTTGGATCGAGAACTATATAAATGGCTCAGCCTAATGACAACCAATTTATCTAAAAAGTTGGGTTAGATTGGAAATATCAACCCATTTAAATAAAAATATTGGATTGAGTTGAAATTTTCAACCCAATTAATAAATGGGTTGAACACGAATCCAATCCGGATCAACTTATTACTAGCTCTAACTACATATATATATATATATATATAAAGTTTGTGCTACACCACGGGTTTGAATGAAACGTGGTTATAATAAAAAAATCAGTTGTGTAGGTAAGTAGATAAGAACCTTAAGATTCATCCGTTCACAATAATCATCCAACAATATACATAATTCCTATTCAATAAAGCACAGACTACAAAAAAGCACCATAGGAAATGTGTTCGATTTGCATGGACATTCAAAGTACGTTCCTATTTAATGCATTTAACCGCTTAGAATACAAATAAAGTAATTTGGTGTTTAAACTATAAAGTCACTACGTTTTGCATGGTCAAATTTATTCTCGTCACATCTAAATTGTATGCTTTTTAATCACATAATATATATATATATATATATATATATATATATATATATATATATATATGTATATATATATATAGTATGTATGGGCCAGGAGGGGTAGTGGTCCCCCCTGATTTTTGGGCTAGAAGTAGGAATTGTAGTTAAAAAAAAAACTAGTTATATGCCTCCTATCTTCAAACTTGGGTTTTAGCCCCTCCCGATTCCTAATCAGACATGTCCAATAGTCCAAATTCTCCAAGCGATACCAAGAAATCAGAATATGTTCATCCCCATTTGCCCAATTCGCCATTCGCTGCCTATCTTGCCTGGACGCCTGCTGTCATTGTATTGTTGTCTTCGTGTCTCGCTAGTTGCTTGTGCGACTGTGCCTTGTGTCGTTGTCTTGCCAAATCGTTGGTCTCACTCTCGTCATCACCATTCACACTAGTCGCCATTCACAAATCACAGAAATCAGGTATGGATAATGGAATCCAGTCATCCAGAGACCCGAATCCTGCACTTTCATTTCTGATTATTGACTGTTGGTGTTGCACTACTGCTGTTGTTTTCTGTTGTCTGCGATACTTAGTTTCTTTTTTAACTTGGTTGTCATTTTCGATTTGCCAAATTGATTTATGAGTTGAGTTGTGAACTTATGATTTGTCAGTTTAGCTCTTCTAGTCTTCTTTATAGTTTTGATTTAATGTAAAAACTAGGACACCAATTCACCAAACAGGAATATAAAAAAATTAAACTGGTTAATGGTTATGTTATGCACTTATGCAGATTTTTGATTTGGTTATTGATTTTCAGTTTTGATTTATGATTTTTGATTTGGTTATGCTTCACAGCTTCAAACAAAACTTAAAACAAAGATTGATTTGGTTATTGTTAAATGAGTTATTGGTTATTTTTCTAAATTTGATTTTGAATTTTTGATTGAATCAATTGTTTCTTCATTTTGATTTTTCTAGATATAATCATGGGAAATATGAAAACCTTAGATTATTTTTTCAAAAGAAAGGTAGATGATAAAGAAACAAATCATGAAAGTGAATAGAGTAAACGTCACAAAGCTTCAACAAGTGAGCCACAACCGCAAGAAACGGAAAATCAACAAGAGATTGAGCCACAACCACCAGGAAAGGAAAATCTACAAGAGAATGAGCCACAACCACAAGAAAAGAAAAATCCTAATGAAGTTGATTTGAAGAATCTAAAAAGAGATCCCGCTAAACACAAGCAAATGTGGGATTATCCGGTCAATTTAAGGAAGCAAGTAAAACAAGCTTATATGAATTTAGGATCTTTCCAAATACGTCTTAAGGGTATTAAGCTAAAGGTTCAACGAAACATCCTCGTAGATTCCAATATTCTTGGTTCAACATTTTCCCTAATTGGCTAGAGTATTCTCCAACAACACACGCTTCTTATTGTTTTATTTGTTATATATTTAATGATAAGCCAAGTGTGTGTCATGGTTACGATGCATTTACTGTTAAAAGATTTGATAATTGGAAAAAAGTTAATGACGGGAAAAATCGTGCATTTGCTAGGGGTGTCAAACCCAACAAATAAAGGGGTACAATAGACTCCAAATACACTGCTTTAATGCACTAAAAAGTAGTACAAGGCAAGCAGGGTCGAACCACAGAGACACGGGACAAAAGTCTATACCTCTTTGCACAAGGTACTTTGGTCACAAAGGGGGGATTTGTTTGCAAAAGAAAATTGCTAAATAACAATCTACTTCAAAAGCATGCACAAAATGAAATAGATTTGTAAACAAGTTGTAAAAGTGCTTCCAGTTCTAGTTCTCAATGTTGTCATTTAACCTGATTATGACTTGATGTAAATTGTGATTACTATTCTAAGTTGGTACTTAAATATATTAACACACTCTAATACCTCTCGCTTGCCAAATTATCTAACCAAAATACGCTCTTTGACTAGACCTAGCTTCATTAATTCAACCTAAACATGCCCTTAGTGTATTGAAAAACTGCATTAAGTTTTGTACAAGCTTCCCAACAATGTTCATTTCTTCTCATACGCTCGAAAGTGTGAAAACATGTGATATATGTTTTACAATAAGAAACTTATTGCTTGTTACCAATTATTAACTTAATAGAACGATTAGGCGCCCTAACAATTAATTAACTGCACAAAAAATCAATTCATGAAAGTGGCCAATCAAACACAAATCAAATTTAAGGGTTCTAGTTTAAACAAAAACATAATCACTAGAATAGAACCACAAATCAAACATCAAATCATATGCTTCAAGTCAAGCAATCAACATGTTTTGAACAAGAACTAGAAACTAGGGTTTCTTAGCCACACATGGCTAAGAACAAATCAAACAAGAATAAAAATGGAATTGGAATGTTTAATCCTTACAAAAATGAAATCCAAGTGTTTGCAATGATTAGGTCTTCTCAAAAGCTCCAAGAATTCTCCCCAAAATCACCCAAGATTGCCCAAACTGCTCCCAAAACCGTTCTCTCTTCAAATATCGTTCTTCTGCTCTTTTAATTAAAGTTCACGTGACTTGCCATATGGCCATGCATTTTTGGCATGGCCATGCCTTTTGCCCATGTGTTTTTGGCATGACCATTTGTCTTGACCATGTGTTTTTGGCATGGCCCATGCTTTTTGCTAAAATTCCAAAAAGTCTTCACTGTTGGCTCCATCTTCAATCTAGCTTCACCACGAGTCTTGTTGCTCAAATATAAGATGACAAAGGACAAACACGACCCATGTCGGTTTGATAATAATCGCATTTCAAACATAGTCCTTTTTCTATGATAATAATGCACAATGACTCGAGTTCCATCTTCATGTTCTCTGCCATGGAATGACTGGATCATCTTCTCCTCATGCTCCAAAGCTCCAAGCATCCAAGCTCCACGTATCCATGATCCATAATGCCTGCAAAATAAATCAAAAAATGGTGAAGTACCAGAGACTCTTGATGAAATATAAAATTGCCCTATTAATCAACTAAATGCAAGAATTAGGAAGTAGAATGCTATAAAAGGGCGAAAATAAACATGAAAAATAGGTGCATAAAATGCACCTATCAGCATTCTTGAAACATATTGGTTGCTCACAACATAGAAATGTTGTTGCATTTGCTGAAAACTTGATGAACCAAGCAGCACACATTGAAAATATCATAGTGAAGCAAAATGAAGCACAAATATTGAAAAACCGTTTACGATTAAAAGTTTCAATTGACACGGTTCGTTGGTTGACCTTCCAAGCTTGTGCTTTACGAGGACATTATGAAAGTTCTAATTCCAAAAATCATGGTAATTTTCTCTAACTAATAAAACTTCTAGCATCTTATAATGATGAAGTTGCAAATGTTATATTAGAGAAAGCTCCTTATAATTTAAAGTATACTTCTGGGGAAATTCAAAAAGAAATTCTTAGTATTATTGCAAATAAAGTTCGAAA